TCTGGTGGCTCAGTGGTTGAGAGTCCGCCTGCCGATGCAGGGGACACGGGTTCGTGCCCCAGTCTGGGAAGATCCCACATGCTACGGAGCGGCTAGGCCCATGAGCCATGGCCTCTGAGCCTGCGTGTCCGGAGTCTGTGCTCCGCAATGGGAGAGGCCACAACACTGAGAGGCCCACGTACCACAAAAAAAAAATTTTAAATAGAGTCACCATATGATCCAGCAATTGCACTCCTGGGCATATATCCAGAAAAGACAAAAACTAATTCTAAAAGATACATGCTTCCAATGTTCACAGCTGCACTATTTACAATAGCCAAGACATGGAAGTAACCTAAGTGTCCATGGACAGAAGAATGGATAAAGAAGATGTGGTACACACACACACACACACACACACACACACACACACACACACACACACACAAAAAGGCCATAAAAAGGATGAAAATAATGCCATTGCAGCAACATGGATGGACCTAGAGATTATCATACTAAGTGAAATAAGTCAGAGAAGAACAAGTATCATATGATACCACTTACACATGGAATTTTAAAAAATGATACAAATAAACTTATTTACAGAACAGAAGTAGATTCACAGACATAAAGGAAAAACTTATGGTTACCAAAGGGGAAGGGGAAGGAGGATAAATTAGGAGGTTGGGTTAACAGATACACACTATTATATATAAAATAGATAAACAACAAGAACCTACTGTATAGCACAGGGAACTATACTCAATGTCTTGTAATAATCTGTAATGGAAAAGACTCTGAAAAAGAATATATATATGTATTTATGAATATATATCACTTGAATCACTTTGCTGTACACTTGAAACTAACAGAACATTGTAAATCCACTATACTTCAATAAAAATAAAAATTAAAAAACTTACCTAGATTAAACTGATGGAAAATTTTTATTGTTTCCTTAAAAATGATTTTGTTACCTATAAAAGCAATCCTTGTGAATTCCAAGGTGTACAGTCTCTTAAAATTTTCCTAATTACATAATTAAATAACTATATAAAGAAAGATAGAAAAAAAAAGATACATACCATAAGTTTTTGCCCTGGTTCAGGGCAGAAAATAACAAAATCTGCTTCAATGTTAAGATGAATGTGTCCCTGATCATCATAAATATCTCCTAATTCACCCACTACTTTGATGTTATCATAAGCAATGGGTACACCTAAAAGGCTGTAAAAAAAAAAAAAAAAGAAAGAAAGAAAAGAAAAACGATATTTGTTTATCCCTTTTAATTGATTAGATATTCTGAGTCCAGAGTACACATCTCCTAATATAATCACCCATGACAAAAGCACAATAGTATATGATTAGTCTGCAACAACTTTAGAAGTTCGATTTCGTCAAAGGGTTCCAAAATAATGACTAAGTTAAAAATAATTATTCAAGATGGGTAGCCAGAAACAAAATGTTCAAGTATGCAAGAGCAATAAGTTGACACTTCTTCCCTATTTCCTATTCATCTGAATTCTAGTCATGCTAGAATGAGAGAAAAAATGGGACTTAGCAAGAAAAATGTCTATTTCTGTGAATATCACTGAATCAAGGCAATTTTGGTATTATCCACCATTACCCAATTTCTGTACTAGATGGCATATGGCAAGAGAAGTATTAGGGTCAAAGCTAAAGCCCCTGCATATTACAGCCAATGACTTAATGGAGAAAAATCCCCAAACTGCAACTGTTGCTAGTATAACAAAATATTAACAAATACAACTATTTCATTTTTTGAGAACTGATTCTGACACTTTAATCTGTATGTTCGGGGCTTCCCTGGTGGCACAGTGATTGAGAATCTGCCTGCCAATGCAGGGGACACGGGTTCAAGCCCTGGTCTGGGAAGATCCCACATGCCGCGGAGCAACTAGGCCCAGTGAGCCACAACTGCTGAGCCTGCGCGTCTGAAGCCTGTGCTCCGCAACGAGACCGCGACAGTGAGAGGCCCGCACACCCCGATGAAGAGTGGCCCCCGCTCGCTGCAACTAGAGAAAGCCCACGCACAGAAACGAAGACCCAACACAGCCAAAATAAATAAATAAATACATACATACATACATACATACATAAACAAACTGTATGTTGATTAAACATACAGGATTAGGGGACAGCTACTATTTCCAAATGTCATTTCCAAGTTCTTAAAAAATTACAGCTACTGGGGCTTCCCTGGTGGCGCAGTGGTTGAGAGTCCGCCTGCCTATGTAGGGGACACGGGTTCGTGCCCTGGTCTGGGAAGATCTCACATGCCGCGAAGCGGCTGGGCCCATGAGCCATGGCCGCTGAGCCTGCGTGTCCGGAGCCTGTGCTCCGCAACGGGAGAGGCCACAGCAGTGAGAGGCCCGCATACCGCCAAAAAAAAAAAAAAAATTACAGCTACTAAGGAGTCTGAGCTGGTGACTTCACTGCCACAGCCACTACCTACACGTTTCTGAAAACTTTCCTGACTCCCCCAGGCAAGGCTGAAATCATGCTGCCTCTACTCCTATAGGACTCTGAGCACTGTTCTTATTTACCTAATCTTTTTGTTTACATGTTTGGATTCCAGACAGGAGTCTAAGGCCTTTGAGAGCAGAGAACATTTTTGGTGAACTCAAACTTCTAGAATGGTTCACAGAGAATGAAAGTAAGAATTTATACCTAGTAGCAGTTGTTTAAAACAGCCAGGAGTCACTGGAACGGAACTTAATTAAATACCAAATTAGGAAATCCATAAACTGAGAGACTTACTCCAGAAAGCACCCTTCTGAATGACTAATTTCTGCATGTGGCTTTCCTAAGCAGGAACTATACCATCACAAAGAGAATATTAGGGGCCCTGAAAACAGAGAGAAAGGAGGGGTTTAAAAAAAAAGTAACCTGCCACATGAGAAAGAAAAACAAAATTAACACTTTGTTTCCCCTAATCAACAATTAAAGAGTTTCAAGTGGGGGAAAACTGTTGTCCCCTAAGGGGCCATTTGGGAGTTTGTGGTACTAATCATAGTTGTCACACTGCAAAGGCCAGGGATGGGAAACATTCTGCCACGTACAGAACAGTCCTACACAATGAAAATTGTCCCTAGCTCTACATGAGTTAAATGAGTGGACAAACCTCATTTTATAAACATTTATAAATGGTCATAGTACCTAAAAATATATACATATATGCGTGTGTGTATGAACATAAAATCTTTGCACGGTTTCAATATAATTTAACATTTCCAGGAATATAACTAATATATAAATTCAAGAGTAGCTTGTTTTGCTTGGAACTTTACTGAGAATATACACATTATTTCAGAATACCACTACAGACACTGTATGTTATGTGAGCTGTCAACTCAAGATCCCTGCACCAATCTACATGTGCAACTGATACATTCACAATGATTCAAGGTATAAGTTAAGGAGGCTTTATTCTGTCCAGGTAGTCATGCTTGAGCATTATCACACTGAAATACATTTTATTGTATTGTATTAGAGCACTATATGAATGTTTTTTTCAATTATGTAGGTAGATTATACTATCTTTAAGTTTCATTTCAGTACACTAAAGTGTGTTTCCAATGACAGTAAAGGTAGTACTGCAAAATATTTCTTATAAGAGGGCGTACTGAGTTCTGCAGGGTTCAGAACTGCTGACTAGGGAATGTGACCATAGAGCCTAAACCCAAAAGAATTTGTGTAAATCCAGCAAACCTTTTCGGAAGCAACTCACCACATAAAATTTACTAGAAATCATCAGACAGAGACAGACACCTCAACATTATATCCTTCCCTCTTTTACCTTTGCTTTTCTGAAACCATCCTAAGTAGGTTTCAGGGCAGAGTGATAGCCTCACTTGAGATACTTAGAAAACAATTAAATCAAGTTTAAGGGATGATTAGACTGCATGCACACAAGACTTTTCTGGAACTACTGGGAGGTAACATATTTGCCACCTTCAAATAACTCAAGAGCTGTCATATACAAAAGGCATAAGAAAATGACCTCTCAAAGATATAACTTAGAAATTATAATGTGATTTTGGAAACCTACTCATTTTCTCTAAGCAGACTTTTCAAAACTGAAATGGTATTATCTTTAAAAAATTCTGTCACTGGGAAAACAAAAGGTGGACAGTGTGTCACGTAGGGGATGCTGTTGAGATAACTAACATGAGAGCCATTCTCAATTCTCCCCTTTTCTTTATTTCTTAAACAAAGAGAAGCATGTCCTCCTGATGGTACAGGATGGCCCCAAAGTCTGGAAACATAAACTATATATGATAAATGGTGGATCAATATTACAATTCTTGATATATTCAATGTTTTGTCCCTCATTATTAATGCACAGTTTAATGTATGGTGCCCCTTTTGCACAGAATAAACTGGAGTTTTTAGCACACCCCCAAAATAATGGGGGGTAGGGTGGGGAGTTCAGATCTGTTCAGAGTGCAGTTTAGGCCACATGGTCACACTGTCCAATTCAGTTACAGAAATTATCATTATCCAGTCAGTTCTTCATCTCTCTGGTGTAATGGTTCCTATTCCTCTAGCCTGTCAAAGTGGAGGCATTAATTAGTTACAGATCAAACATCTGTCTATGTTTCCAGATTTTATGACCACCTTACATATCCTTAAATCTCCCAAATGCATCCTCTCTAATCAATTTTCTCTTGGACAAGTATAACAAGCTCTTAATTTTTCTTCATATTTACTGTCTCATCCTCCTTAAACCATCACATAATGCTATCAAGTGGTTTCTTAAACTGCAAATCTGCTTATGTCCCAGACATCACAGGTACCACTGTCTCAAGAGTGTGCCAAGTTTCAGAGTTGGAGGTTATTGAGAGGACAAAGTGGTAACCCTGCTTCCTGCTTAAGCAAACAGAACAAACAAACAAAAAACACCTGGCAAAGGCAGGTGGGGAAGAGCAAAATGGCCATCCTTTCTGAATTATCCTCCACCCCATCTTTGAGCCACTGCCTTCCTCTCCAGCTGTACCCAATGTCTTTCCCCTGAGATAAACTTTACTTCAGTTATAAAGTACTTACAATTATCTGGGCAAAGTATTCTACTTCACAACTACTATCCATTTGTTTATGCCACTCTTTTTGCCCAGAATGCTGCTATCTCAAAAGTACCCTCCTCCTACCAAGTTGTTCTCAAAGGTCCTAAGATCCAATTCACCACTTCTTCTTACTATAAGTTAATTTAGATTTCTGTCAAATTTTAACATTTCATTGATTTATCTGGCTTACATCTATATCTTTACTAGCACTTAAAGCTTCTTGAAACAGGGATCTTGTTTTTTTTTTGTTGTTGTTGTTGTTTTTTTAATATCCCAAGTCTCTAGTATACAAAATAGACACACAAGTGTGTGCTGGTGCTTGGAGGAAGCTGCAAATTCTAGATGCTTAACCTGTGTAGTGTTCAGGATCCCTTGATAAAGTAGTGAAAACCTTGGATGCTTTACCCAAGAAAACTGACATAGGAAAACTGCAATTTCCATGGGTTCATTAAATTCCTGAAGGGTAATAACGAATCCCCAGGGAATCCACTCACTCTAGTTTTATAACCCTTACTTTCCAGCCAAGTGGTCTAGAGGAATATTAAGGTATATATCTGCCCCCTCCGCCTGACTCTCCACCCTTGTAATTCTAAGAGTTTTCAAGTTATTTTCGAATATCTTACTTTAAATGCATCAAAAGGTTTTTTTTCACCTTCAAGAGCAACAGGCTTTCCTTTTCCCACTCTTAAAAAGGAAACAAAGTAATAGTATTTCTCTCATCCCTGATCAGGTCCAAGAGAAGAGAAACCAGGGAGAGTACCAGGGCCCAAACAATAAAAACCGCCCTTCGTGGTTTATAAATAAACGATTGAACGAAGTATTAATGCTTCATGTATAATTTTCTGTATAGTGAGAAAGAATCTTTTGAAGTACTGCATTCCAAACTTTCATTGTCAAATGAGAAAACAAACAGAACTAACCGGTCTCCAAACCCCTGGTCTATCCTTACCTCTACCTCTCGTGGAGCGAGCTTCTTCACCCATTCCGCCGACACAATTCATGTCACCTTAAGGTTTTCTTTCTTGCCTATGAAAGGGACTCTGTACGGATCTTGACCAGGGAGGCACTAGCCTCTCGAGGTAGACTGCCACTCCAGAATGCCTCGGGGTAAGCTCGCTGAGGCCGGTGAGACTTCCCATTCGCCCCTTTTCTGCTGCGCCATTAAGACGTCCACCAGCTGCCCCCTCCCGTGCCCCAAAGAAGGAGCAGTAAGCAACGTTATGATGTTGTCCGCTCTGGGAAAGAAAAGTGTAAGAGACTGGTACCTCTCAGAATAGCGCAGGAGCTCGGCATCGAGCTGTTCTCGGATACCGGTGCGTTTCCTGTTAAGGTAGCGCGGCGACAGTGCGATGTGTCTTCGGTGCGGACCCGCCACCAGGCAGGAGTAGCGGCTATTCACGAGCGCACAAGCGGCCGCGTAGGTAGGCAATTCTAGGCAAGGCAAGACGCCGGCCGGTCCCACCACCGGCCCTTCTGAGGCCGCCTTCGGCCGCGGAGACGCTGAGCAACCCGCAGCCATGCGGACGGTCAGGTTTCCCACGGCGCGCACTTGCTTACGCAGTCAATAACCGCCTCTCTCCGGACGCCGGGTTTCTACGTCATCCACCAGCTACCACGCCCCTAGGAAATTTCCTCTCCTGGCGCTGAAGTACTCAATTCTGAGCAGCAGGGGGCAGCCGCGTTTTCGCACTTGGACGCCTGGGGAGCTAGGAGCCTGTGATTAAGCATTGAGCATGCTCAAAGGCCAACCATCACCCCGTCGCTGAAGAGAACGCGAACCCGTATTTTCGCTACGTCCTCATTGGATTTAGAATGTAGATTTATTCGGGGTTCACACTTTGATTATATCCAGTAGTAAGGTGGTTTGGTAGGTGTACAAGCTTGGACGGTACAACAAATAAAATTTAAAATATTTATGGAATATATTTTGTGCAGAGAACCCAATCCTAAAAAACAGCCCAGATGCCTCAGACGCAACACTTCTGAAAACGAAACCATCACCTCTCTCCAGCCCGGCTTCTCTTCTCATTCTGTATCACTAATTCAGGAAATCATAGCACCACTTTCCAAACGGCTCGGTCTGCCATCCCAAGGGCCTCTCTTGTACCCCCAAACGTCACACCAGCCCCAAGGCCTGTGGGACACAAAGCCGAAACATCACTCTGTTCGTACATTTCTTTCCGGCCTTGCATCCGAAACTTCAGAATTGCCTGTGGAAGCTTAGTTTTATGGTGAAGATACTCTGGAGCAGCCAGGTCTCCATGAGCTTGCCCTGTTTAAAGCCTCACACAGGTACCCCATTTCCCTCAGGACGACACAGACTCCTTAATCCGGCTCTTAAATTACCAAACCATTTTATAATTTGCGCCCAGTATTTTCATTTGCCACTCCTCACTTTACACTAGCTGCTAGCCCCAGCATGCTCAGTGAACCACTCAGCCCACCTTCTGCCCCTCCCCACTACTCCCTCTCCCCTCCCCTCCCTTCCCCCCTCCCCAATCTTCCTCTCCCTTTCTCTTCAGTTTCATGCTATTCCTTCTATCTGGGAATAGGGCAGCTTCTCTCACATGGGAAAATTCTACTCCTGTGTCAAATTTTAGCTCAGATATATACCCTTTTCCTCTGAGTAGTTTACTACCACCCTACTTCTCTTCCCCACCTAATGATAAGGTAGTTCCCCCATCTTTGTAAATTACTACCATCAAACACTGGTTTTATATTAATTTTATGTTAATTGCCTGTTTGTCTCCCCTCCCACCCTTCCTTACCTAAACTCCCAGGTCACTAAGGCTGGGACCATGATATCAGTCTAGTTCACCACTGCAACCCCCATATGACTCAAAAATAAAATAAAGATGAAATAAAATTCACATTTTATGGCAAGACAAGAAAAATTTAAATGTAAGAATTTTCTCTGCCGATTTGGGCTTCCTCCCTCCCCGTTAGTGTGTATTGTGCGTCTGCAGTAACAAGACCTCCTTAGGAGATAACCTTCCTTCTTCATCCTGTAAGGGGTCATGATGACTACTACTCACTTCGTTAAGTGCCTATCTGGATTGTATAAAATCTGCTCATGCCTCATGTGATGTATAACGCTTTGTCTCAAAAACGTGTATAAGTGTGCTTTGCCATCTAACGGGCAGAACAGTTCTCAAAGCTTTCTGAAAGGCCATCTCCCAGGTTATAAACCTCAGGTTGGCTCGAATAAAATTTTCCATTTCTTTCTTAGATCGACAATTGATGAAATTTTTTGTCAACACAATGCATCTTGAATGAATGAATAAAATAACAGGTGATAAAGAGCTTACAGTCTAAGTTAGGAAGTAGTAACTAGACATAAACATGTAACATGTATTAGACTCTGCATAAGTGCCAAGAGAAACGTATATCAATTAGTGGTATGAGTACTAACACCCTCCCACGTCCCCTAGGTACTGTGAAAAAACTCTATTACCTGTTTTCCACTTGTAAAATAGGGATAATAATACTTGCCCTGCCTACTACAGAGATGATAAAAGGTTCTAATAAGGTAAGTAAAAAGCATTTTCTTTAGTATTCTTTAATTGACTTCAAATTTAGCAAGAGATGAGAATTGGAAGAACCCGCTCCCAAAGCCCAATGGTGAACATGTTAAGTCCATAAATGGGAAATGTAACAGACTTTACCTTGATTTTGTTGCAAAGCCCTGCAGCGGTCCTGTGCTGCACCCCTTTGTTCAGTGTTCTCAACCTTGGCTGAACATCAAAATCCCCGGAGGAGCTTTAACTTCTCCTGATGCCTAGAGGGCACTCCAGACCAATTAAATCAAAACCTCTCCTTGGAGTCAAGATGCATCTAGGCTGTCTGCAGATGATAAAACATGAATGAAAATAATTTGTCCAAACACAATTTACTAAAAAACAAGCTGGACATCAGGACAATTCAGTCAAAACAAAACTTACCTGAAATCAATTACTCAAGTAATGATTATACAGAAATTTAAAAAATGAAGTAGTTATGTAACGTAACTCTTTGGATGTTCAAAGGCAATTTGCTTGTTTGATTTTGAGAATTGTTTTCTACTTTTTAATCTTTTAAATCTGGTTTGATTGTTAGCCACTATTCACACTGCATGATTTCAAAGAGTGAAAGGGTGATCCAGCCTGCGTGTAAATGTTCCACATTATGGAGTGACTTTCCCAAATTAACCTATTCCACCTACCACTCCAGGGAAGAAGAAAACAGAAGTACAATGAGATCCCTCCTACCTATCTCCCATCCCACACACACACACACACACACACACACACACAGTTTATTTCATTGTGACCTATATTCAGTCTGCACCATTTTCTTTTTCTCTAAAATCTGATCAAAGTGTAATAGGAAGTCAGGCAATGATGGTCCCTGTCTCATGAAAAGACCTGTCAAGCCAAAGGCAAGTCTGTGCTAGGAAAATCCCCCTTTCTTCAAGAAGAGAAGAGGTTAGAAATGACTTTGGCCTCATGTCCACTGACCCCAAAGAAAGAGAGAAAAGTGTTCCTTTAACTTGCTATACTTTTTTTTTAACCACTGATCCTTCCCTCCCCAACATGCACACACATACACTGTATTATGTTAGTCTGTTTCTATTTCTTTCAATCAAAGAATCCCTGGAGCAATATAAATATGCAACAATTGGTGGTTTGGCCAAAATAAATTACAAAGTAATTTGAACTGTATGCTTTGATTTTTCCAGGAAATACGCACACTTACGTGATTAGAAAAGAATATGGATATATAAATACCGTGTATTAATATTAGTTATCTCTTGAGGGTGAGTTGGTTTATGGCTTTTTTCCCTTTGAGCGAATTTTCATATATTATTATATTGAGTGTGCATTGTTTTATACTAAAAATAAAAAATCAGAAAGTCAGCAAAAGGATTCCCGTTATTGAAGATTTTACAGTTTCCTACTGAGAAATTTGCCATTTCTTTTGTCAGTAGGAAAAATTAAAATAGCTTCAATACAAACTAGCTGTTTGAAATAAATGTGTTCAGTTTGGGAAAGAGATGTATCTTAGTTGTTCAATAAATTGTGAAATACAGTGCTTTGGGGGAAAATACATGTATAAGATTTACCTAATGGGTTTTGGAAATGAAGAAACACAAAGATCTGAACACAATATTTACCAACCATGCAGACCACTTGTAATTCACAAGTGTGTCAGCAGATGGCAAACATGAGCTTTAAATTTATAAAGTTTTGCTTTAGCACAAAGTACTGTAGGAATGGCAAAAACCAAGGCAACTATTTATTGACAGCTGTTTTTTGGGGGTTTTTTTCCCTATAATCCTTCAATAAAGGACACAGGATCAAGTTTTAACTCTGAAAGCCCTTCCTACTGGCTTCTTAGATTGTTGAACTAACAGATGTACACCGTGCTTGCACTGAAGAAAAAGAAATAATAAAGCACACTGCATTACATTTTATTGGATGTAATAGATTTTATATTTTGCAAGCTATAGCTATTGCTGAAAATACACAGAAATGAAATTATTCAAATGTATCTGTCTATAAGTTAAGACCTGACTGCCTTAATGAGGTTATATTTTATTGGTGGTCCTCAACGTCAGGTCCCTGGACCAGCAACAGCTGCATCACCTGGGAAGTAGTTAGAAGTGCAGATTCTTAGGCCCCGCCCAGGCTTACTAAATCACACCTCTGGGATGGAGCCCAGCAATACATTTTACCAAGTGCTCTAGGTGATTATAATACCCGCTGAAGTTTGAGAACCAGGGGCTGTAAAGAGGCTTGAAATACAGAAGAGAGGCTCTGAATTTATTATTTCTGTTCAGGTATAATTGATGTAAATAGTGATAATCAACAATGTAGTTAATTACTTCTTTCATATGGTTTAGTGTTCAAACACAATAAAATAAGGAACATAAAATAGTACCCAATTTACATTGACTCAGAAGGGTAGAAGCCATTACCTAATTTCCATGCATTTCTTATACTGAAAGAAGAATTTCAGTTTACGTTCCCCTTTGCATTATATTGAAAGGGATAACGTTATGGTAAATTTTGCATTACAATCTATCTATTGAAACAAATTCAAACTAAGTCAAAATAGGATTATTTCCAAGGAGTAGAGAACAATCTTCATGAAAGAAAACAGTCCTCTACAAAACATGTGTTATTCTTATTGTATTAACACACGTACATGTTCTGTTTTCTCTAAGGCATAGCCAAATCCTCCTGCAATTCTTCTGTCACTGAAATAAGAGGCACAGCCATTTTAAATTAACAACAAATACACCCGGACACACTTTCATTTGTAAAAAAGAGAAGGTGTACAAAAATTGTTTACCTAATGTGATAATTTTATCTTAAACACTACTATGCTTCAATTACCTTACTATTTGAATATTTTTATTAATTCAAAATTTCTCAAAGGATACATAAATTGACAGTTCCCATGAAGAGTCTGTTTACTCTTCAGTATAGAGGCAACCTTTTTTCTCATCTTTAATATATAAATACAGTTTTCACACAGTTTTCATAAATAGAGTATTGGTAAA